AGCTCCTATCGCCAATTTTTACCAGGGTCAGCATTTTCATAAAGTAAAAAATGTAAACTTGGCAGTGCTTTTTCGCCAAAACGAGCCTTAACTTTCTTTGGGGAATTGTCTCCTCATGGGGTTTCGCTATGGATTGATTTGAATGAAAACCCCGCGTGTCCAAAAAAAGGGGCACTTTTCTTTATTTTCATTCACCCTGTCACGATTATTCCGTATAATGTCGAGCCATACCTAAAACTTTTATGTTAGCGGTCTAGAGAAATAAGAATGAACAGGTTTTAGCTATAGTGGAGCAATGTTGAAGTAGAGTCCCTTTTGGCAGCCGACCTTGACTGGCCATGGAGGCCGAAACTAGTGCACTCAAACGAACGATATTGGGGGATAAGGATCAGGAATCCTGCGATGTCTGTCACACAGAAACAACAACATCAACAAATTGATCAATTAAAAAGAAAATGAGATTGGTTTGTGAATAATTTCTTAATCTATTTTCATTTTGGACCGATGGCAATAACAATTTACTCTTGATAAACCACAATTAGGTAATATTTTCATTATTCTTGTTCACATACGAGGTACCGCCATCTTGGTGCACTAGTTTCGGCCTCCATGAGCGAGAACCAATCAGAATTGGATTTTTTTTTAGGCCACTTTCAGCCCAATCCTGGCCCAACCAAAAGTGAGTTGTCGTATAACTCTGGGTATAAAGGGACTCTATGTTGAAGTAGGTACACTCAAAGTTTTGCCATCGTCATCCTGGTTGAAGAAGTGCGGTAAAATCCTGGGGAAATTTTTCCTTTTTTCAAGATTGATGATATCATTGGCATCAATATAGAACACTTCTTGGATTTTTTTGGTGTGAGCCCCTCCAAGAATACGAGGGTCGTTCAAAAAGTAAGTTTCCCTACCTTGTATCTTCCGAACGAAATAAGCTAAATTAAATCGGTAAAAAGGCACATATTAGGCATCTAAGCTTCAAGAGCATTCCAATGTCGCTAACCTTGCAAACATAAACGATCATCTAAACTAGTTTCACCTCTACTCCCAATAAACTATGAATTCAAGACGAAAATTACAGTCGCAAAGTTTACTTTTTGCAAAGAATGTACCCAAGTTGCACAATCCTAGCAACATTGAAATACTCTTAGTTCCTTTTTGCAAAATGCGATCCAATCATCCAATTGGTTGTCGCTGCAAAAAAATAGCTTCCCACAACCTGCTATACAATGCTCCAGTGACCATGTAAGTTGACCCGAGCACTAACTTTTCGCGGGAAGAAAGCCTTTACCTGGTTTCTCACTTAATATCCCCCCGAGTTTCGCATATCTTCCGTTTCTCCTCATCGCAGCTTCCATCAAATCGCAATGGGCCTGTTGCATACAAGATATACAGCCGCGCGAATAGACTTTATAGAGGTGACACGAAAATTAAGATGGTCACATTAAAAAAGTTTGAAATACACTCCTTACCTACTGCGCAATTTGCGTTGTTAGGAACGCGCTTTTTCAAATTTCCCGCGTCTGGGGGCAGTTTTCTGATCACCGGAAACGAGCAAACGGCGGGCTCTGTGTTTTCCGGAAGTTGCCGAGTCGTCGTTGTTGTTGTTATTTGTTCCTTCAGTTTGTTTACAAACCCAACGTGATCTCTTATAGTGGTCCATATACGCTTTATGCGGTAACCAAATCGATCAACTTTTAAATATCCAACGCAATCCTTCTACATTTCATTTCACGACATCACGAGCTCCGATTTTTAGGTTATGTTGTCAGTTTTAGTTGACCGGAAATAGCCGCGAGTTGCCGTTATTTGTTTCCGTTAGAAAACTGCCCCCAGACGCGGGAAATTTGAAAAAGCGCGTTCCTAACAACGCAAATTGCGCAGTAAGGAGTGTATTTCAGACTTTTTTAATGTGACCATCGTAATTTTCGTGTCATTTAACCTCTAAAAAGTCTATTCGCACGGCTGTATCTCTTGCATGCAACAGGCCCATTGCCCGGAAACTAGGACCGCACATCTTATCGGATAAAATCGTTCGCCCTTTAGACCGATTCTGGGGGGTTAGGCTAGACTAGTCGATGAGTCAACTGTTGATCTAATTTCATTACGTGAACGTAGAAGAAAAACGGGGTAAAAAAAAAATCACTAATGTGTGATCAATTTTCAAGGACAATTCTGTAATTTCTCCAACGATTTTAAATAGATTAAAACGCGTAATATCCAAAATCTAAGCTCAGATTCGGATTCCTCGTGAAAAATTGATGAGATTTCATGTATCATAATTATGTTAAAATAGCGTGAAGGAAAAAGGTTTAACGACGCGTATAGATTCTGTCCTGCCCCTTTGAACTACGCTGCCGCGCCGCGCCCGCCGGTCGCCCGAGATGCAACCGAACGGTGAGGCGCCGGCGCTAACAATAAGCGTTCGGTTTCGTCCCGAGGAATTCCTCACGATAAATTCTTATTCTTCCTCCTCCGCTGACCCACTGAGCACTACCCATGTTGCCAAGTTGGATTCATATGCTCGAATCAGTATGTCTACGTTACGTCTCTTTCCTTCACGCTATGCTCGGGTATGATACATGAAATTGAATTAAATTTTTAACGAGGAATCCGAATCTGAACTTCGATTTTGGGTATCACGCGTTTTCAGTAAAATTTTTCAACTTCAAAAATCCGAAATGACTGAAGTGGCTTAAAATGCCATCTCGGCTCCTGTTCGATGGATTCTCCTGAAATTCGGTGTCAGGGTATGATACATGAAATCGCATCGATTTTTTACGAGGAATCCGAATCTGAGCTCCGATTTTGGGGATCACGCGTTTTAAATCAAAATCTGTCAAAATTCAAAAAATTCAAAATTCAAAAATCCGAAATGGCTTAAAATGCTATCTCGGCCCCTGTTCGATAGATTTTTCTGAAATTCGGTGTCAGGAGGTATTTTTTGACGGGAAACTCGAATTCTTAGTCCATTTTTTAAAATTCTCAAATTCAAGATGGCGAACGTGGGCTAAAATGCTATCTCGGTTTCTGTTTGTTCCGAGTCTTGTGAAACGCGGTATCACACGGTATTTTTCAACGGAAAACTCGAATTTTTAGTCAATTTTTTAAAACTCTCAACTCCAAAATGTTGGATGTGGCCTAGAATGAGCCCCGGTTCTGGCCTCCGTTTCTGTTCGTTAGAGCTTTGTGAACCGCGGGATCAGGGGTACTTTTCGATGGGAAACTCGAATTTTTAGTCGATTTTTGAAAATTCTCAAATCCAAGATGGCGGACGTGGCCTAAAATGCTATGTCGGCTCCTGTTCGATGGATTTCTTTGAAACTCGCGGTGTCTGAGGGTATTTTTCGACCGGAAACTCGAATTTTTACTATGTTTAAAAATTCTCAAATCCAAGATGGCGGACGTGGCCTAAAATGCTATGTCGGCTCCTGTTCGATGGATTTATGGCGCCCCCTTACTGCATGCCTACTCTTGTATTTCTGTACAGCCGCAAATTTAGGGTCAAGGGGCGTGGGCGCCTGACCGTCTATGGACCAGGTGGAGTTTTTGTCCTGAAAATTTAGGTACCTTTTAGAAGGCAATTCTCTTTATATTTTGTTTGGGGTTTTTATGCCCCCCCCCCTTTCTCGCGGACTCTCTTTTCACTTTTCTTGCCTCCTTTTTCCTTCCATTTCCCCCCTCTTCCTTGCTTTCACTGCCCAACCTTGTTTCCTTTTCCTTTTTTCCCCTTGTCCTTTCTTCCCTATTTTTCCTTTTCCTTCCCCCCCTTTTTCCCCTCTCTTCTTCTTTCGTGGCGCCCCCCAAAGGCTGGCGCCCGCGTGCGCCGCACGCCCTGCACACGCCCTACGTCCGGGCCTGGTTTTAGAACAAGTCCAAGTTTTCGAAAATCGATAAAGAGATTCGCAAGAAAAGTTAATTTTACTGAGACAACCTCCTGTCGCCGCGCGTGCCCACCTCCCGGGTCAAGATGCGCGGAGAGTCGATTATTTCTGACTCGGGGATTCGCCTCTAAACATCACATCAAAAAGGATTTTAAAAGTTTTCATTGAGTACCTAGGTCTTACCTTTCTTTTTGACGTAGGCTCCACATCTTTTTTGACATTTCTGGTATCATTACAACAGCTTTTTGATGCATTCCGTGTAGAAGCTCTCGCCTCGGCTCCGAAACCAATCATTGACTGCGATCCTGTACCTCTGAATCGGTTGGCAATCGCTTTTCATCGTGGAAGTTTTTCCGCTCGGGAACAGATGAAAGTCACGTAAGGCTAAGTTAAGAGAGTAAGGAGGCTTGGGAGGAAATTTTCCGACGCAAAACAACTGATTTGGAAGTGTAGATCGCTGTCAATGACATGGTTTCGGAGCCAAGGCGAGAGCTTCTACACGGGAGGCATCAAAAAGCTGCTGTAATGATACCAGAAATGTCAAAAAAGATTTGGAGCCTACGTCAAAAAGAAAGGTAAGGCCTACTTAATGAAAACTTTTAAAATCCTTTTTGATGTGATGTTTAGAGGCGAATACCCGAGTCTGAAGTAATCGACTCTCCGCGCATCCTGACCCGGGAGGTGGGCACGCGGCGACAGGAGGTTGTCTCAGTAAAATTAACTTTTCTTGCGAATCCCTTCATCGATTTTCGAAAACTTGGACTTGTTTTAAAGCTTAGAGTATGCCTAATATGTGCCTTTTTACCGATTTAATTTAGCTTATTTCGTTCGGAAGATACAAGGTAGGGAAACTTACTTTTTGGATGACCCTCGTATTTTTGGGAAGTTTCTTACAAATACGTTCCTTGTTCACTTAAGAAAATTAAAGAATAGCAGAGGTTTGGAAACACTGCAAATCGTGTATGTTCTCGTGATTTCACCGACAGCTTAAGACGCTCAACGCTTGAAAGGCCACAAAAAATGCCTATGTTTTTATTTAATCGTACATTTCTCAATATTGTCACATGTATTCTTTTAAGAGGATACCACTACTTCCCTATTTTGGTTTAAACTTTGCAGATAATATTCTAGAGAGGTTGAAGCAAAATTTTAAAAATTTCCTTCGAAGACGATGAAGGGTCATCCGTCTAAGAACTAAAATGTGGTAGGAAATATGTAGCGTCGCGCAAACCGAGATGGATGATTTCACCATCCGAGTATAAGTAAGTGAGTAGGTAAGTAAGTAATGTGAAGTTATGTGCTCTGTAAATATTGTCGCTTTAAGTTAAGCAGACTTTTAAGTACCTTTAAGCATCTGCCAATGAGGCTGTATATTTATATACCTATCGACGAAGAAACTATACCTCACCACGTCTGTGTTAAGTGTACCAGCTTCCCCGTCACAATTTACTTTTTTGAAAGATAGATGCATAGCCACCGTCCGTGGTGAAAATTTTGTGTAAAATTCATTTGACCCATCAAGAATATTTTACTTTTTGAGCAAAAAAGTTCATTGATTTGGTCAACTGATAAGTTCCAATTAGTGTTTCGTAAAAACAACACGTTGATTAAAAAAACTTGAGTACTGCCAACCTCGTTGCTCAAGAGAAACCAAGTTTGTTTGCAATTAAAATTCTATGACTTTACAGATGAGAGTTTGCCTCAGTGTCATAAAGGCTCACAGTGATAAAGAGCTGAGTGCTCTCTCGCATTGTTTAACATTAAGCGGCCTAGTTTTAAATGAAAAATTGTAAAAAGAAACTTCTTGTAAATACAGACAGCTCTTTGATATTTTTTCCCGGCTTTTTACTTAGACGCATTCAATTCACTTCTCTTTCATCGTATAACATTTTACGTAGGTATGAACGAAAGCAGGACTCCTGGTAAGAGAAGGAAAAGAAGGGGGGGGGGGGGTCAGACCAGTTTATCAGATTCATGCTTTCTGTTTTTTTCTTTTATTTTATTTTTTTTTTTTTTTAAAGTTTTATTTGGAAGAGCAAACATGCATGGGTAATAACTTCCAGAAACTAACTTGAATTGAAATCTGCTGCAAGATCGCAAAATAATGTTTCCTCCGGCAAGAATGCAGGGAAGATGGCCAGCAGGCCAGCAGACTGAATTGCAGTTTTGCTGCAGAATTGCCACAAGATCTCAAGAAGCACCCGAAATTTGCTTGCTCGAGAAACCTCCCTGCAAGATTGCAAAACAATGTATGCTCCAAGATTAAGACTCAAACTTGCAGCAAAATTGCGGGAGAGATGACCGGCAGGACGAATGTGCAGCCTTGCTACGAGATTATGACAAGATCACAAGGGACATGCGGATTCTGCTTGTCAGTGCAACCTTGCTGCAAGATTGCGAAACAATGCTTCACCAAAACAAATGCATAGACTTTAGATAAAATAAAGGAAAAAAGAAACTTATAATGTTGCTGAAGGTCACTAATTACTAGTGAAAAATGTTCATGTTAAGAAACTAATGATAAGACTAAGTTTCGGAAATTTAAGAATTTATATTCAGTTATTAGAACATAGTAACAAAATTCCTAAAAAGTATCACCTTGATGGGGCTTATTAAAAAGTATAGTAGGTACAGAGATAAGTAACAACTGAAAATAGTATAGCATTCAACAGATTGAACTTCGAGTAAATAATTTAACAAGGATTGTAACAAATAAAATACTTATATGAATTTACAATAAAGGGGTTATTGATTAACTGATTGATAAATATAAATAAAATTAGTAAATCAACTGGTCACTAGCACGCAGTAAGTATATTTACCACGTTCTTCGCTGTGCAGTTGAATAAACAAAGCAAAGATGATAATAAACAGTTTTCTGATAGGTAAGTAATAAAAATAATTCAAATAGCTAGAAAGATCAACATTTTTTTAAACTACATAAGTATGATCCAATGTACAGTAAGTAGGACTGTTTCTACCTAGAATATTCCTTCAGCAAAGTGGAAAAGGGGGTTAAGAAAATAGGGAAGGCAATGGGAATGAGCTTAGTGTTGTAAGTTCAGAACATGAAGACTAAATTTTAATCCTGTAACGATAAAATTTTCTTATGACTTTACAATCAAAATGTGAAGGACATGAAGGGGCGGGGGTTATCACAGGCTTGTAAAACACCTATTGAAAAAGATTCCTAAATATGAAAAATCACTACCTAACTTAGGCAAAATTACAGATATAATAAGAGGCATACAAAGGATCAACAAATGTTAACAAAATCTTGAGTTCCAGAATAAGACATTGTAGAATTTTAAAATTGTTTTGATTTCATTTCTTTCCTTTTATTTTTTGCACCAAGATTCATTACCAACAGTTCAAGAGATACGGTAAATTACTTTCAAACAATAGGAGAACGGTTTCTCTTGCACAAAGAGTTCCTGAGATGCGTTCTTTCAATGTGACCTCATAGGCAGTAGGATGATTTTTCCCATTTTCAAAATGTAGTAAAACTAGGACGAGGCATCAAATAATTTCAAACGATGAAATGTGGCCATATGTAATGTGGATAATGACTGTACCAAATTTCATCGAACTCTGGGAGGATATGGTCAAAATCTTGGCCTGATTGAGTGTGGAATGGCCCTGAGAAAATACAAAAACAATTCCTCCATCATAGCTTTCAAAACCTCTGCTGGGAGGAGCTGATAACTTATAAAATTCCCTAGAAAGTAAGTCGCTAGTTATGGAATCAAAAAGAAAAAAAACTGTACCAGAGGAGTTGTGATGATGACTATAAATGGATAAAAATGATTAATGTTATAATGATTTGTGAGTGGGTATTCATAAGAGTAAGTAAGGTCAAATTTCAAAATGAAAGCTGCAAAATTTTAAAAAAATTATTTCCTTCAAGTCTAATTAGGAAACAAAAGTATTAAGAGAAAAATAAATGTCCAAGAACCTTGCACTTTGCACTTGAAAAAGAGCTACACTGTTGAATTATTGCCTGCGTTAAGAACTCTCTCTCTCTTTCATGTTTACAAAAGCAAACTTACGATGTAAGGCTATCACAAGAGGCATAAGTAAGTAGTCTGAACTATATTTTATACTTTTTGGTGTCAAAAAGAGTACTCCGAAAAAGAAAAAGAGAAACATTGAAGAAGGGTCAGGAGAGAAGTGTATTGCAATAGCTGAATACAGAATATTGCAAATCTTTGATAAATTGCCCTTTATTACCTAGGTAAGTATAATAATAAACAGAAAAAAAAATTCCTTTGAGAATAAAATTACCACAGGCTAGATACTTAAGTAAATAAATAAATAGATAAATAAATTAAACAATTAATTAATTCAAAATAAAGATTTAAACTTAACTTACAGAGGTAAATAAATAAATAAACTGGTTGATTCAGCGATAGAAAGACCAATACAGAGGCATATGTATAGCTACCATACCAATGCAACAAATATATGGGAAAATTGGGGTAGATAGTACGGTAAAAAAAAAAAAAGTAAAAAAAGAATATAGGCTGACAAGAAACGGGAGCATTTGAAGTGCATATTAGCATATTAGTATAACTCCGGCTTGATTAATTTTTAAAAGACCCTCAACCTCGGTAGTGACAAACGAAAAATATTTCTGCTCTAGACTTCAAACATGATTGAGAGTGCAACTCTATTCTTGATGGGTGTGTTTTAAAATTAATAAGACTGTAATTAGTAAACGGTAGTAAAACTAAACACCTCCTTGTTTCCAGAATAAGCACTAAATGATCTGAAGCTTTAAGAACGATAAAAACTAAATTCAAAAGATTTGAACATGGTACAGGTAAAAAATTAAAACTTCTTGAACTGCTATGAAGAATTTCTGAGATAAAAAAGCCATCTTAATAGAATTTTAAGTGGTTTGAAAAATTAATTTTAAAATTCAAAATTGATGTCAAAGAACATATGAAATTTCCACAGGTGAAAACTTCAACATGATGAAAGAAAGAGAATCAGCCAAAGGTATGTACACCTACAAAGTTCCCAAATTTAAAAATTTTACAATTAAGATAATGAAAATTCATGAAAGAAAGATTTTGTTGCGATGCAAGGAAAACATAGCAACAGTGAAACTTCAGGAACATGTATCTCATTTGAGATGTTTCAATGTGTGTATGCATTGTATTTCTTCTGAGGCATACAAACCAACACTATTATCTGTAATTTTTACAGCATAATAATCCCACCAAGAATAAAAGTTGGGGAAGCTCTGAAGAAATGGTGTAGGGAATTTTTCTGGGAGAATAATACAGAATTGCAATATTATTGTAAACCAAATACCCGTTCCTGCAGTTTCACCATCACTGGAGAGGGGGTACATGATAAGCAAAGAACTCCAACATAAATTGTCCAGCAAAAACAGCCAATAACGATTATGTGTGGAAAAATATGATATAGTTAGTAAGGAAGTATGCTTAGATATTTAAAAGAATTATAACCACCATATGCACGCTGAAAACACTTCAACAGTGTTTGCATACTTCACTACTGCAGTGTATAGCCGCAGAACAAATGGGTAAATAAAACTTTGGTAGAAAAAGGGAAACTCTGATGATAGAGGAAAATAATTTTGAAGGCAAAGACATACACCCACGTATATTATAAAATTCAATTAGGTATGAAAGCCAAAGAGTTATTTTCAGATTCACCTGCAATTTTTTAAAAAGTGTTCAACCTGCTTCGACATTGCCAAAATATGTATGCAGGACAATAAATCCCTTAAAGACTAATTTTCATCAATATTAAAATTTCCTAAGAAAAAATCAAGAAAACATTCTCAACACACTCTCTGGCAATGATTCCAGCTTTGACTGATTTAAGTGTACGCAGTGTGGTATTACTCAAAATTATTTGCGATAAAAAAAAGAATACATACTGTTCACACTACAGTTATCTTGGTGTTTGTACATCATGAAGACAAGTGTTTAATTGATAAGGATCATCATTCTCTCTAAAATACACTTACACAATTTTAGGGGGAACATAAACTGCTTTCCTTTACTTTGATGAATAAATTGAGAGATATCTTTTAAACAGTACTCACCATCAGTTAGAGGCCAAAACTGAACATTCGAAAAGCTTGAAAATCAGTAGGTAAGTATTACATACACAGGAACTTCTTTATACAATGAGTAAAATTACAATAGAAATCACATCTCTCTGAGGATGTGAGAGGCACCGGTTAGGTGTAAACCTAAAAACTTGATTGCAGGATAATTAGCACTTATTTTCCAGAAATACCTATTCAACAAAATTCCAAACCCAGACAAAATGAAAAATTGAAAATTCAAGAGAACAATTAAAGCAGATAAGATGATAATAGGGCCATGCCACTGTGCCATGAATTTTTCAAGAAACTTCGATTTCCCCTAGGTACAAATAAGATCCTGAGGGACTTTGATGAATAACAAATAAAGGAGTATGTATGAAATGATTTAACTTCATGAAAAGATACTATTCTCACAGAACATTTTGTTAAGGCCTGCTTTATAGGGAGAAAAACCTGGAATGACTTAGGTAAGGTAGGTTCTTAAAAGAAACATCAATTCATTCCAATTATAAAAACAATTCATTTTTTCTTTTTTTAACATTACCGATACTTGGATAAGGAATACCGAGGTGATTAAAAAATTTAAAAAAAAAAAAAAAAATTAAGGAAATAAAATTAATGTACTTCGGTATGACAATTTTGGAACTAAAAGCTTGTAGTTTCTAAGAAATTTAAAACGAACACACATTCAACACTAGTGAATTAATCTGACAAGCAGGAAGTTTCAAGGGTTTGTAATAGTTCAGTTATTAAGTAAAAAATTAATTTTGATTGTAACTGAGTTGAGGAGAAAAGTATGTACCTAGGTACTTCTCTTCTTCACAAAGGTTACAAATTAATGCGGAACAAGCCCTTATCAAAATAAATTGTTTTACAAAGGAATATTTGTTATGGCTTCTTATCATGCTGATCGAGTGTTTAAAAAACAAATTTTTACCTGATGAGCCATGATCCAAACAGTGATACTTTTACAATCAGTTAACACCAAACTTCACTTTTTACCAAGGTCAATCAACACTTTCGGCCCTTAGTGCTGTTCAATTCTCATTCAATTACAGTTTTACTGTTCTGGATCTAACACACGGACTCTTAGTCTTTGCTTGTAGTGATACTCTTTTAAATAGGATTTTAATACTTTTGGAAGTTGCAATTGATTTATACCATCGTAATTGATGTGGCTGCAAATTGTTGCCCTACAAAGATGTTGGAGAGGAAAGGGAAAGTTTCGATGCAAAGGTATTGTGAGCTGCGGTTCATAATACATTAAACATGATAAATTTTTATAATGTTCTATTAATCCGCAGACTGTGGATGATGCAAAAACCTCAGGATCTCTGCAGTCAAAACTGAACCTATGATTCCACTGTTCTATACGAGCATGAAGGGATCTACTATATTTACGAAAGCTAACTGAAAATAAATACTCTTCTTGTGCTGAGTCTCGTAATAGAAATGCTCCTTCAGGTAACCCTTCAAGTAATCTCTCGGCCTCATAACGGTCCATTTTCCCCCAATAAAATGAGCAAGAGGTTATCTGAAGTAAATCAGGCACAAGGCAATGCATGTAGTCTACCTGAGTATGAGCTTGTGGTGTATTTTCTAACTGAGAAAGAGCTGATAATGCGGCTGAATGGAGTAGAGCTGTAAAACTATCTAGAGCTGAGGATAGCAACTGCTCGGGATTGACCAGATGGATATGGGACTTATAGCCTGGAGGTGGCTCAACACCTTCAGCTATTTCTCTTGCTCGCTCTTTCCTTGCTTTCTCATCATAATCTTCGATAGGGTAGTTTTCAAAATTGAATTTAGCTAAGTCTATTATGGGCTCGATGATTCGGTTTTTTTCTCCTTCGCAGCATTTATCAACTTCACTTCTCCCTGACACAGGGGATTCAACGACAAAATCTGCTTGAAAGGGAAAACTTCTACTTTTGAACCCCTGGTACCCAGTGCAAACACAAGAATCACAGCTAATATTGTTATCAGGTAAATCACTGTCCATAGTGCCGGAACCAGCAGTACCAGCTTTCAGGCGGGTGTGATTGAATTTTAAGACCCAATGATTCCGTTTTTTCTTGCATTGACTACTTGAGCTAGGGTCTTTAAAAGATTTTGAAAATTTGTTCTCACTTGTATCAGATTTAACCATAGAGTCTGATTTAGACGTACCTTCAGGTTCTGGACTTGACAAGCTGCATGCGGCAGATGTGTTATAAGTTGCTGGCTCTTCTGCCTCTTGGGCTGAATCATTCTTATTTCCGTTTCCTTCCAATATCCGATTGTCACACGTACTGATGTGAACAGGGTCATACAGCTCATTGACGTTGACTGGCGCTGGAGTGATGTTACCATTGCTGTCGCTACCAGCTGACTGATTCACACTGAAATTAGCTTCACTTACATCCTTCCTGTTGATAGTGTTGTACTTTCTGTTAGACTGTCTGCTTCCTTCCCATCTACTTCTCATTTTGAAACTTTTCTTGAATTCACTAAATTTTTGGCCCATTGTAGGGTGACAAGAGGCTAGAACATTGGCCACTGTGGATAGTAAAAGAATGAGTCATTCTCTAGAGTTTTATTTCTCTGAGATTAAAATGACATCAAAATGATTGTTCCATGGTGCCAGAGAAGCAAAATTTACACAGAAACTAGAGTTGCGCGACTTATTCGATAATAAGGTCACGGTGCGGGTTCTGAATAAGTGCTTTCACATTGGATCAAAATAAATCCCAGTCAAGACTTTTGAGTACGACACTGAATCCTTTAATGATTGATGAACAGGAATCACGCACGATATGCTGGACCAATCAGTAATAATGCACAGTGAGTTATCAAGTCCGACCGTGTCGGACGAAAGGGAGTCAAGTATCGCGTATCGCGAAAATTCACTTCAAGTTTAAACTTGTTCTACCTCAACATCATGACGGACGATCAGACGATGATGATTGTTTCGCCATGTTTATTTTCTTTCACCCTTTCCCTTATTCCCGCTTTTTCCCTTTTCTTCTCTTTATTCCTCCCATTTTTCCCTCTTAAAATCAATCTTACCGCTACTTTGAGAAAGAAATTACTTTTTTCAAAAAAAATCTCTCGTTATTATTCTTAGAGATATCTCAAGGGCACTCTCAGTTCAGACCAATTTTCATTTTTTACGTCTGATGGAGAGTTTGCTTTGGTAATTTTCGGAAAATCTTTCCGTTTTTTACTTGTTCCTGCCGTTTGCGTTCGTACTGTTCGTACCATGTTCACGCATATTTTGCCTTTCTGCAAACTTGACTCATCATTCCCTGACAACAACAACAACTGAATGTTTACCAACAAAATGTGAACGTTCACAATGGTCCAAAATATTCCTAAGCTGTTGGAAATTTTGATAATTCACCTTATTTCTAGCGTCTCTACCCCTTAGTCATTCTTTTGACTTTAAAATTTAATTCTTCTGTGCATTCTCGGCTGCTAATTTTTTAGTTCAAATGTCATCCATCACTGCAGACGCTGCAAGTGCCCCGACGGAGGAGAAGAATGGGCCCGGTCAACCAGACAAAAATACTGTCTTAGCGCTACTCCAGCTCCTGAGGAAGTATAATCTAAAGGTATTATTATCATTTCAAATATCCATTCTTTTTTATAGATGCCATTGGTTTTTCTATGAACCAGAAGTTTCTGAAGGAAGTGCTGCACTACACCAGGGTTTCTCCAACGCCACAAACGAACCTGGCATCAATAGTTATGCCGTTTCATGCAGATGAAATACACATTCAATCTGCAGCTGAGAGAGTTAGTCATGATACTATTAACTTTGATGATGAAGGAACTGATACTACTCTGTCGAAAATGTGCCAAACTCAAATTGTTGCATCAGGAAGACTCTGTCTTGGGTGAATGTAAGTAAGTGATCTAGGGAAAAGATTCATCATCATATAACGCTGTTTCACAGTCTATATCTTTGAGCAGTTTTATATATTGTAGTCACAACAAATCTTATATTTAGCTTTAGCCACGAGCAGCAATGCAAAACAATCCAAATATATAGGAAAATGCAGTCTTTTTAAAATGAAAAACTTTTTCGGAAATCTTTCTATAGAGCTAGTTCGAAATGAGGATCCAGGGGCTCCAAGGATTAAAGTGATTACACCCTCATTCACTAATTATTATGAAGTCAAAGTTTGCATTGCGGCCGCGTTGCAAGGAGTTGGACTTTAAACCCCCGAGGATGAAGTCTCACATAATACTTATGCACCTCATAATGGGTCTGTTGCAAACTTTTGCTAGAGCAATAATAAGAGCTGTTACTCGTAGAAATTGTTTCAAAAATGACGATCGCATCGGCAAAGTCTGAAATGCACTCCTAACTTCACAGCTTGCTTAAGAAATTTGCATTTTTTGGTGCTTTCCGCTTCTGAAAAGATACCACGGCACAGGTGAACATTTCATTAGAGGAGTCATTCCATCCAACCCTTGCTCACAAGAATACTACGAAATATTCAACATAGCCAACACCAATCTGCCAAAACACATGTGACGGGACGATGATTCTAACCACCTGATAACAATTGATGTGTTTATATTCACATTTTCTCGTGTTTATAGATATACTCCTTGATTGAACTCTCACTCTCCTCAACTTGCGCGCGAAAGCGTTGGCCATGTTGAGCAGGGATTGATTGGAACGACTCCTCTAACGAAATGTTCACCTGTGCCTTGGTATCCTTTTTGAAGCGGGAAGCTTAAAAAACCGCAAATTTCTTACGCACATTGTGAAGTTAGGAGTGCATTTGAGAGTTTGCCAATGCGCTCATCGTGATTTTTGAGACATTATCTATAAAAAACAACTCCTATTTTTGCTCTAGCAAAAGTTTGCAACAGGCCCATTTAATGAAAGGAAAGAATCTTGGCAACTCATGATTTTTTTGTATCTCTGTTAAACACTTGAATGTGAATAATATAGGCTACAGAGGAAAGTTTGAAGAATGAAGCAAAACTGTCAGAACTACCCTCAACGCAGTCTACCTCTGACTCGGATGTTACAAATGTCCTTTCAGCCTACAAAAGTGAAGGTGACCCACAAAAGTATGAAGAAGCTTACATTGACCTAAAACAATTCATAGAAGGAGCTCTTGATGTTTACAAGGTAATTATGAGTTGGTACTTACAACTGAACTGTTAAATTCCTGAAACCAGCAGATATAAGACCTTTACAATTTTTCACTGCCAAAAAGAGAAAACATTTTTTTTTTTGACTGGTAAATAATAAACCCTAAAAACTTTCTCTGTTGAAAATCTTTGGTAAAGCATGAACTCATTTTTTTTTGTTTTTTTTTCTTGGACACTTCAGGTAGGCCTCAAGGGCTAATCCCATTCAATTCCACTTACCTTCCCTACTTGTCATATTAACCTATTTTATAATCCAAATTCCTTCCACCTATAACACTTGGGCAACAACTCTCCATCACCCCAATTAGCTTCCTGAAACCTAACCATCCCTCTAACTACCATTTTCTTGAAACCCTTAATATCTTATTGTTCCCTCTTGTCACAACCAAACACCGAGGAATCTCTCATTCCTTTAAAGAGTAACATCCTATCAACTAATTCATCATCACTAAACTTAACCTCCACTCGGCTTCCTACCCTCCTATCCTTTATTTCTACCAAATTTATCATCCCTCATGAGCAACTCTCCCTTCCATTTTATTAGAGAGCAGAGAGTATAGAAGGTATAGACCTTCTACACTCTCTGTTAGAGAGTTTTGAGTTGGCAGTGATGAAGTACTTACATTATTGCACCATTATGTTTGAGCCCCCTATACAATTTGAACAGCTGTTTCACGTACACCACACTTCCTTAATTTTGAAATTAACATTGAATACAAATAGGCAAAATTACTCATTTTCTATGGTTCAATTATTTCATCATCTTCTCTTTTCAGCATGAGCTCCATACAGTTATGTATCCAATATTTGTGCACATGTATTTGGAATTGGTCTACAATTCACATGAAGAGGAAGCAGTTAAATTTTTGGAAAAGTTTCGAAAGGATCAAGAACCTTACTATGAAGATGATATAAGAAAGATCAGTCAGGTCACAAAAAGAGAGCACATGAAAGGCAATGAGCTAATCGATACTTTTACGTAAGTTGATAAAGATGTATCTCTATTAGTATGATGAAGATTTTAGAATTTCATGTAATTTACTTTGCTGATTCAAAGTGTCCGAAATGTCCAAAAGAGTATGTGCCGATAAAATTTGCAGTCCCCAAAAAAGCAAGTAACAAACACAGACTGTGGATGGTTCTTGAATAATTTGTGGCTATTGGTCCAGGGAAATCCATCAACTTCACCTCCAAAAAGATTAGATATTACCTAGTTCAAAATTTTCAAATATTTTCAGTTTTTAAAAGTATTTTAAACTATGAAATTTGTCCGGTGCATTTTTCATTATACCTAATCAGGAGTGCCATTT